GACTCAGCTCGTTGGCCCTCCTCCATCCTCCCTCCTCCCTCCCGCCTTCCCCTCTCTATCTCTGCTTCAGGGGCAGCATATGGCAGCATTCAAAACATAAGTTTGGAGCCCAGAAATTAGTATGTTGCTCCTCGTCCATCTCCTGCACTAAGACTCTTGCAGTGGGGGAAGGGTTTCGGCCACTCACTGCCACATTGCGTTCCAGCCTCCGAACTATCTTGCCAAGCTCAAGTAGACTCAGCCAGGTGACTAAGATCTGGTAGAAGATGTATGCTTGTGAGCTCATAGAAGACAATGTCAAGCCTTGCGCAGTTTTGGACGCGGGGTCCATGTTCCATCATCTGTCGATGTTTTCCATACAACTACAACAGACGCAAGTGCGGCGGTCGAGCGCTTGTGTTGCGATGAGGGGTCCTAGGCAGTCCGGTGTCGGATGTTCGCATATGCTCGCAGGCAGCATCGCTCGCTCAACTCGCACTGCTACTCAAACTGGGGGACATGATGCAAGCAGTGGTTGCGCAGCTCTGCATCTAATCTACGATCAAAGCACGCTTGCCCTCGGAAGCTTCTGGAGTGAGAGCAAGGGCCAACATCAGAACGTCCAGCCCCACCGGAAGCTCGTTGAGCACATTGGTTGGAGATTGGATCTTTCTCAATGCATGTTCACGCTACACGTGCCAACCGAAAGGACAATGCAGCCTGACTCGGCACGAACACAAACTGCGGGCTGAACTTCTTCAAGCACCCACCGAACCTGATAAGAGTCACGAATCCGAATGCAGACACACGATGACAAACGACACTCCATTCGCGTAGACTACGTAAAGCCTTTCCAAGGCGGCCTCTCAAACCTTTTAAAACCTCTGAAGATCCTGACGGACTGATTCCCAGGAGTCGTAGCTACTTGGCAGATTGGACAAGATGCCTCCAACAGCTTTCCAAGAGGCCTCGACAACCTCTCCTTCCACTCCAGTCTCCACTCCACTCTCCGCTCCAACGTCCACTCCTCACTCTGCTCCCCACAATAGACTTTCCACTCCACTCCCGCACTCTCCACACTCTCCGAACTCCACTCTGCCCTCTAAGTTCTCCACTCTCTACTCTCCACTCGGTGCTGCTGAACCTTCTGCATGCAACATGAGAATAGACACATCAACACAAACCTAGCAAAGATTGAAGAGATTGAGCAGCAGCTTTTTCAACTTTCGCGCATTTTTCAGTCTTTTTGAGCGGTGTGGGCTCCTCCATCTCTGCCCCTGGCTCCATGCCAACCTTTTCGTCCTTTGGAGCATGTGTGGAATTTGTGGGCATCACAGAGCTTACACAGACTTTTCAATGTTTGACATGTTTTCTGCTTTCAGCTGACTACTTGAGCTTTAAGTGGCCTAGTTTATGCGATGGACACATAATGGGCGAGGTGTTGCCCGCGCCGCCTAGAATCCAAACTGAAGTCATGCTAAGGAAATGAAATGCAATGCAAGCTGGGTGAATTGGATTACATATAATTTTCCGTCGCAACTCCAGATGGAGGCTCCTCTATGCTCCTCCATTCCTTGTAGAGTTCTTAAAAATTTCAGGCATGAAAGCTCGGTGGACATGTTCTGGGTATCGTCTTCTTGGACCTCCCTAGACAGCTAGAAGCCAAGCCCAGCATATTCTGCTGTGTCGTGACTCAGGATCGAAGTCGGTCCAACAGCAGGTTACCAGCCTATGCATTGGACACTGCGCCAAAGAACGTGAGAGTGATAGTTCATGCGATCGTCGGATTGCTGGGGAGGCGCCGCATCCTCTCCGCCGACCCTCTCCAGTTAGAGGCCACGCCAAAAGAAGCTTAGATCAATGAGCCAGAAGCCAACTTAGCTCAATGCAGAAGAAGCGATTGATCCAAAAGCAATGCAGAGGCTTTCTGGCCTCTTGTGCACTGATCTATGTTGGCTTCTGGCTTATTGATATAATCTTGTTTTTGGCTTGGCTTCCAGCTGGAGAGGGTGCCTGAGAGGGTGCAGTGCCTCCCAAGCAATGCGACGACCGAAACTGAGATCAAGGTGCGATAAGCCAACTTAGATCAGTGAAGCAGCGGGCAAAATGCCTACATGGTGGACAGACTGCAACTGCAATCGGAAGTTTTTCCCGCAAAGCAGTCCTCAAAAGCAGGTGCCAGGTTTGTTCAGCGTTCCAGAGTTCAGCGGTCCAGAGGAAGATACCTGGCATCTTGCAGGAGAGGGTGTGTCAGGGGGTCAGAGGTGGGTGTCGCAGGAGGAGAAAGTGGCAGGAAACAGATGGAAGCAGCCACAGACGGCCAACACATGACAGGCTTTTTCAAAACGTGCTTGTTTGATTTTGTCACATGTTTGAAGCCTTTTGTATCTAGGTGGGAGAAGTGCGCTTGACGCCTTCACCAGTCAACGAGCCGCTTGCAAAGTACTTGCAGGCGCTCCGCTTCACTGATAGGCATCCTGCACGGAAACAAATGCACTGACGCAGGCAAGTGGTTTGAGCAATGGTGATGCAGAGCATCTAAAGCTACGGTTTGGCGACAACTTGCTTGAGGCAAGGTATCCGGCCAGATTGCTTCTGCATTTCTACCTCTTCGTTGGCCTTCCGCAATGTTTGCAGATTCCCCCATTGCTCTTGCAGGTCGAGCTTCCTTCTTTCATTCAGTGCTACAAGGCCGGGCATGCGCATGTGTTGCTCTCGAGTGCGGCAGACTGGGCCTGAAGTCAGGAGCAGCTTCTGTCACCGTTGGTAATTTTCCAGGCAAGATGAAATCAAGCTGCTAGATGGCTTCATGTTCATTTGGGAATGTATTCAATCCAGGTCTTCGTTGCTCTGATTTGGGCAGCTGATGATTTTTTCGGCTACACGTTGATGCAATTATTGCTCGGTGCCTAGCTGCTGATGTTGTGTGTGATGGAAGGGTTTCATGTCACTTTCACGTCCTTGAAACCAATTCGAGCAAGAAGTCATGATACTGACCACCTCGACTGGTTGCTTTGCACGAAGACACTGTGGCTTTGGAGCATGTGAATGTGACTGAGCCTTAGGTTCATCCTGACAATGGAGTCGACAAGTGTCTTTCAGCGTCTGAAAACGATGAAGATGCTGAACAGCATGGGCACGAAGTCCTATGGTGTTATGGTGAACTGGCATGATTACTTGGCGCGTTGTGCATTGGCTCCCCCCTGCAGACCACCAGGTGTACCGCGGCGGTCATTGGGTTGAAAAAAGCGTGGGTCTCGGTGCTGCTGCGCAGATCAGTGTAGGAGAAGCATTCTACAGCTCTACAGCGAGTCGATTTCAAGGCACTTCTGACTTGGTGCCCGGGGATTTGATCGAGTTGGTTACGGTGCGCCTGCTTGCTTGAAACCTAAATACCGAAGAGCCTTACTGTATAGTTTTCGGATGTTGTCAAAGGCGCAGGGGGCACGCGAAGAAATAAT